GGATTTCGAACGAACTTATCTTCGGTTGCATTCACAAACAATACTCTGCAAAAAATGACTATTTCAATAGCATGCATTTTTCATTGATTTTCGATGCCCTTAAAAATTCCATAGAATTTCATAGAAATATTGCACAAAATACCCCTCCTTTTATTTATTTTGTAGAAAATGCCATTTACTTTCAAGTGTATACTCGAAGGAAAGGTATAATTCGGTTTCCAAGAACTTTCCCAATTCCCGAATAATTTTGAACCCGACCTGCCGTTATACTTGCACTCAGGGTTCCCAATCTACAAGCCGTATATTTTCCGCGTGCGGAAAACCGTATATTTCTCTATAATATTAAGGGGAGAGCATATAGCGCTCATGAAATTTAGCGGTGGATTTGGTCCATATTGTAAACTTTACAGACCATATTAGTAAACAGAGAGGCACGATGTTTTGTGAACGGGCATTTCACAGTATTAAAAAATCTCACGATTAGAAACTTTTTAAAATCGCGTTATACCCGTCCTTCAAATAAAAATTGGAAGAAGACGGAATTTTCTGCCGACTGAGCAAAAAAAAGAATATTTTGATGCATGTTTTCCATGAAATGCAATTGAATTCTAAAGAGCATTGAAAATCAATGCGAAAAATGTAGGCTATCTGAGTAGTCATTTTTTAGAGTAGAGTTTTTGCATGCAACCGGAAAGATGTTCGTTCGAAAGCCTGCATCCTGAGGTAACTGAATTATTATTGAATTATGCTGCATGATGATTAATTTTAAAACCTACTTAAGTAATCTTCTTGAGACGAAAACGCATTTCAGAATTTCGGTTAACATTTCGTGAGTAGCCCACCTACTCTAGATGTATAAGAAAGAATTTCATTTCCGCTTTGTTTGTCGTGTGTTCTTCATTTCAAATTTCAACGAGTGACTGAAAAGATGACCCAAGATAGCGTGACATCCCCGGTAGTAGCCGAGTAAGCGTGGGTCCATGACTCAGCTACAGTAGATGTGCTAACTCATGAAATGTCAAACAAAATTTAGAAGTGATTTCTCGTTTCGAAAAGATAAATTAAGTAGTGTTGTAAAACTAATCATGATTCAGCATAAATCTATAATGATCCAGTTACCTCAGGGTGCGGCTTTCGAAAAAACTTATTTTCGGCTGCATGCAAAATCTATACTCTGCAAAAAATGACTACTTATGTGGTATGCAATTTTCTCATTGATCTTCGATGCCCTTGAAAATTCAATTATATTTCATGGAAAACATGCATAAAAATATTCATTCTTTTACTTATTCGGTAGAAAACCACGTCTTCTTCCAATTCCATACTCAAAAGAAGAGTATAATTCGGTTTTAAAGAAGTTTCTAATTGTGAGATTTTTTAATACCGTTAAATGGCCGTTCATGAAACGTCATGCATCTGCATTAACGAATGTGGCTTGTAAAGTTAACAATATTGCTCAAATCCACTGCTTAATTTTATGAACCTTATATAGTCTCCTCTTAACACCGTAGAGAAATGCTTGGTTTTCCGTACACGGAAAATATACAGCTTGTAGTTTTGAATGCAAGTGTAACAGCAGGTCGGGTTCAAAATTATTCGAGAATTAGAAAAGTTTTTAAAACCGAATCATACTCTTTTGTTGAGTATGAAATTAAAAGAAGACGTAATTTTCTACCGAATAAGTAAAAGAATGAATATTTTAATGCATGTTTTCCATGAAATATAATTGAATTTTCAAGGGCATCGAAGATCAATGAGAAAATTGCATGCTACGTAAGTAGTCGTTTTTTACAGAGTATAGATCTTGCATGTAGCCGAAAATAAGTTCTTTTGAAAGCCGACACCCTGAGGTAACTGGACCATTATAGATTTATGCTGCATCATGATTAGCTTTACAACACTACTTAATTGATCTTTTCGAAACGAGAACGCATTTCGAAATTTTGGTTGACATTTCATGAGTTAGCACATCTACTGTAAATGGTCAAATGTGGTTATGTAGCCCCACCTGAACAAAACAAACCCCAGCCACCTGTAATACGGGATCTGTGGTAGTAGGGCTTTTTACAGGTGGGGCCGGAAAACGCACAGGCGGCGAGTTCAAGTAGTTGCATGCAAAAGAGAAGCTATTGGGAATGATCGGTTGTACTTTGAGTAGTTGAGAAATATTTGCCCTAACCCTAACACCTATCCCTAACCCCTAAACATAACTCCTAAACCCAACCCCAAACAGTATTTTGTCCATCAGGTGGGCTACATAACCACATCTTACCAGCTAAATTACTAACCAGAAATCTAACGCACTCCTGCCTTCTCTGCCCTGTTTAATTTCCGAGAAAACTGATGCGTAAATTTGGAGTATATCCCTTACAACAAAGCTTCTTAGACCCGGTTAGAAAATGTATATAGGAATATTCGAGCTAAAACCCATCAGCTACTACGGAGCAACCGCAAGATATTCACAAGCTGCCAACAGGCAGCCAGTAGTGTACAAATATTAAGTAATGTACCGTAAGGACAGCACAGGTATTAGCTAAAGGGTTTTTGGCTGGTGCCTGTGTTGTCAGTATCGTAAACCACTCAGCAGTCGTACTTTTGGGCAATTTTTCTTTGGCGGACTTCTGCCAAGTAGCTCATTATCTTCACTCCCACACTGTGTGCTGGCAAATTTTGCCTCGCGCGAAATCCGAGACAATCACTGTTCCCTGGTTAGAGCTTCTCGTCAAGCCCGCTGCGTCCGTCCCGGTGCCCATCAACAGATTTCCTGTTTGCGAAGGACTTCTCCCTCGTTGAGACGTCGTAAACACATCTAACTTTTGTAAAACAAGGAAAAATATTCCCGCCAACGCTGTAATTAGCTGCCAGTGAGTTTAGAGGAGCCGAGTGCGTCGCAGATTGAGAACGAAGTGGCTAAGTCTAGTAAGCCTGACTAACATTTGCGACCTGAAAAACAAACATGCGTGTATACATCGCGCAGGCGTTCTACAGTTGAAGTCGGGTCGCTGACGCCGCTAACCTAACGGCTGGGAGTTTTATTAGGCCCTCTACATAAATCAGTCTTTGCCAAAATCAGTGGAACACTAGTTTACCTGTGCAAGTTTTCTAGCTGCTCCATCTAACCTTCCGTCGCAAACAGTCTCCAATGCCCAATGGCGGGGCTCATAAACAGAGAACTAACGGCAAGTAGACTCTCAGAGACAGGCGTGCCTGAAACAGAAACTACCGTTCCTGGATGAGGTCGTAATACTCTTTAAAAGGTCGTATACCTATCAGAGTCCTTCCATTGGATGGAAGTGGAAAGAACGATCGACAGAGAACAGCCCTACCGATCTCGAGGATGCACAGCAACTGAAAAGACTTCAATCGGCCTTCCTACTGGAAAGGAAAACTCAGTATTACTCTAAACGCAGACTAACAGACAAGAAGGTAGTTCCAGCGGTATGTGCGATTGAAGATTAGTCGCATTGGAAGTAAGAGCTGAATCTTCGCCACCGCCCAACCTACTTGGTAGGGCTACTGGAAATACCCCTTGGTTTACCTCTTTCCTTACAAATTAACAGGTGTTAGCAAGCTGCTTCTCATCTCCTGTGCAAGATGTACTTCTGAATTCGATGGAGGTCGGTTACGCCGTCCTGGTTCCACGTGTAAGCGCAATGTGAGCATTGCAAGTAAAGTAAACCGAAGGAGAATGCTGACATCGTTTGTGGAAAAGTAGCCAAAATTAAAACGGAAAAGGGCAACATGATGTTTCGGTTTAGAGGTACGGTTAGTTTTCGGTTCTGGGTGAGTGTCATGATGAGAATTGAGTTTGGGGTTAGGATTTGTGTTAAGTTTAAGGTTTCCGGTTAGAGTTAGGGTTTGGATTGCGGTCTGGGTTTATGTTTAGTGTTGAGGTCGGGTTCAGGGCTAGTGTTAGGCTAGGGTAGAGTTACGGTTAGGGTTATGGTCAGGGCTAAGGTTAAGGTTAGGGTTAGGAGTTGCGTAAGTGTTAGGAGTAGGTTTAGTGTTAAGTTCACAGTTAGCGCTGGGTTTATAATTAAGTTGAAGATTAAGTTTACTTATGAGGTTACGGTTAGGTTTACTGTTAGGTTTGAGGTACTGTTGTCCCGCGTGTCCTGCCAGCCAGGTCTTATGCGGAGATTCTGGGCTCCCTTCAGTCTCGCGGCAGATTTGTCATACACCAGGTTGCCTTTTCCGTTCCAGCCACGGCTACTATGCCCACTAAGGATTTCAGCATCCTCTTCGGCTTAATTTACCCTCAATGCCCACATTGCTCTTACACCTGGGACCAGGATAGCATAACGGACCCTTCCCCTGACTTCTAATTCGAGGCTCTAAAAGTTACTGCCACATTGAAACCCTCGGTCCAGATAAGTAACGATGTCTTTGTATGCGTTCATGATAAGCTGAAAGTGAAATACTCAAGGGGAATAGGGGCCCCGTAATACGGTAGACCTTGCGTCGATTTTCTATGTCCTAACTAACGCAAACGTTAAACTTAACCCCAATCCTGCCTTAAGTCCAACCTCAACCCCAACCCTACTCTCCCTTGCATTTAGCGCAAGGCCATTCGTATTACTGGAGGGCTCTTATTCCTATGTCCTACTGGTAAACTTAACAGTAAAGCCTGGAAGCATGGGAATGGCGGGATGGTGAGGACACGAAACGGAAATTTTCAAATCTCTCGCGCTGTTTTCACCCAATTAGACACGAAAACTGAAATCCATACAGTTTGCAAACTGAAGTGCTTCGTTTGATGATGGTCCTTAAAATTTTTTTTGGTTTAATAGATCTATATTTGTTTACTTCACTCATTTGCTACATTTGTAGTAAACTTAAGTGTTTCCAGTCAGATTTAGGCGACCTTTAACTCAATGACCAATGGCTGCAAACCTTCAAGGTTTGCCTGCGAATGATGTGACCGTGACAAGGGGATCGATATCGCCCTTGCCAGTTTGAGCGAGCAACAGCTTCGCGCCAACAGTCCGCAACCTACAGAGATGGCCTTTTTCGGTCTTACTTACTTTGGAAAACAAGATGTTTTCAAGGAAGCAAGAAATCCAGGTAATTTTTTTGCCCTAGCTTGTCCACTAATGGACAGATTGCGATGTCAAACTATTTGATTCAAATCAGGAGTTTTCAGAGGAGAAGGTTAGAGGCGCTGTACCCTATGGTAATTTTAGGTTTACAGAAGAGCTGATTGACTTTTTGTAGCAATGATTGATACCACAAAGTATCCGCTTACAACCAGTCAGGATATGCAAGAGGATATGAAGAACGGCAAAGACTGTAACGAAAAAACGAAGCATACGCACAAGCGTACGGAGCTCAAAGAGTTAGTTTTACTTAGTACTTATTCCTATGCCTCCATGCAGATACCTTGAAGCCTCTGTGAAGCTGGGCTACGCGTAAAAGAACCATTTGAATGAGCACTGTGATCTCAAGTCAGTTTGCTAAACTGTGAGAAACACCCTCCAGTCATAAAGTTTTCGATTTTGCCATAGGAAATGGTTGCATTTCTGTTAACAAATAAATTCCCCATTTGTTCGAAACGGTATTCGATTTTTCGAATGAAAGACGGAAGTGTATACCATGTCAGATCAAACCATAGCACGTCAGAAGTACAATTGGATGCTTCACCCTGCACGTCTGAAGCCCGACAGCATTACGATGACCAAATGAGAACAGAGACTGTTCTTCCGTTTTTCTGCCAACAAACGTCAGCCTTTATCTAATGACAGTTGACCTGTCACGACTAACCACGGCCACTAATGTCTTGAGCGGGACACAGCAGTGAAGCTGGTCTGCTTTGAATCCGACCCAATCCCTATTCCAACAGACACTGTGTTAGTGGGCGCTCACCGATCGTTATTACGGAACTCACTCGTTCCGATGTGCCTTACGGGCTCTTTCTCGAGCCCAACCAGCAGCCGCACAGCGGCGCACGATATAGGCAGAATGACATTACCGACAAAGACAAGGGAAACTGGAATGGCCATTTCTGGCTTATTAGCCGTCGTCAGGCGGTCATAACCAACCCCGAAGTGTGGAACACCCGAGGTTCGTGGTCCAGTGGCTGGAGGCGCGGACTTCTAGCTAACAGGTCGCGAGTTCGAGTCTCGGGTGTTCCACACCTCGGGGTTGGGCATGACTGGCTGACGACGGCTAGTAGGCCAAAAATGGTCATTCCAGTCTCCCTTGTCTTTGTCGGTCATGCCCTTCAGACATTGTGTTTTATAGCAAGACAGTCTGCTGATGGGGGAAAGATCAGGGGGCCGGTACGACATGCAAGGCCTCGGCTTCACGTGCCACATCCAACCTGATCCTCAACTCTGCGCGCAACAAGTCACAATTAAGAGGGATGCACTTCAAACTAATCAGGATGCTCTAAGGCCAACATTAGGGGAGAGTCATTTCAGTCAGATTTTCGGTCGGATGTGGTTTGGTAACCTCACCTGGGGTGAACAAACCTCAGTCACCTCTAATACCGGGCCGGTGGTAATAGGGGTTTTCACGGGTGGGGCCGGGGAACGCACAGGCGACGAGGCCAAGTAGTCGTATGCAAAAGAAAAACTATTGGAAGTGCGTGGTTGTACTTTGAATGGTTGAGAAATAGCTGCCCTAATCCCTAACCCTAACTCCAACCCCTGATTATAACCACAACCCTAACCGTTAACCCTAACCCCTAAACATAACGTATAATCATAACCCCTAACTGTAACCCTTAACCCCAACAGTATTGTGTTCTTCAGGTGGGGCTACCAAACCACATCTTACCAGATCTTCGTCGCACGGGATCAAGTTATTTCGTCAACTGGCCACTTTCGGTCACGACCTCTGGCGCGTCGTGGAAGTTTCTAGGCGAGTTTGCTTGTTTATGAGAGAATACTAGGTGCTTCCTCCGGAGTGGAACGACCTTACTCACTTACTTACTTGGACTCACCGCCCAACTGCTAATAAGAAAATGCTGGTTCCTCACCCCGTCCCCCGCCCGCCCGTGAGATTGACATCACCAGGACACCGATCTAACATAACCAGCGGGTGCGTAGGCTCATGCACGACGCTACGTCCGCCATAATGACGCTGACAAATTAGACAACATTATTGTCGTCCAATGGATGTGTTGTACTCCGTTATTGGTTGACATTTCGCCCCTGTAGGAGGCCACGCGATTGACGCGCCTGATCATCACAGGAGCTAGATCAGGATTCGGCAGGCGTTATTGGGAATGCGCGCCCATAACAAAGACCAACAGTGGAGGTGTGGTGGCACGCCAAGGTGCAGGCCCATATCACCCCAACTGGGATCTGGACCGTCCCTCTTTTTTGCTTAGTGTAGAAAATCCTGATTGGCGAACCAGGTTCGGGTTTGTTTTCGCCGTACCTGCCCTCCATCTCGCCTTCAGTCATTCTGACTTGATCATGAAACCGGGTCCAAGTGCGGTTGGAGGGGAGAGTGCGGCATATGCAGCGCAAGTCCACTATCGCTATAAAATAAATCACGCCCAATTTACCATCCCTGCTCTCACCCTGCTGTGGAGCACATGGTGAACCTCGTCGGTAAAGACAGTCTAATTGTGCGTATTCTTTGAAGCGTAGAGGTATGTGGCCGAGTGTCAGACATTACCTAGGAGTGCTTGCGCGTGCGTGTAGAATGCAATGATGTTAGAAAGACATGTTCTCTGTGCTGCCTTCCTCATTATTATCGGGTAGACGCATGCGACTGGAGAGAACCAACTGAGACTGGAACGCGATGTTGAAATGAAGAAAGGTGGGATGGCTGTCTTCGGTGCTGACGCCAGTGGAGTTGGTGAGTGATACTGCTAGTAGTAGTAGTAGTAGTAGTAGTAGTAGTAGTAGTAGTAGTAGTAGTGGTAGCAGTAGTAGTAGTAGTAGTAGTAGTAGTAGTAGTAGTAGTAGTAGTAGTAGTAGTAGTAGTAGTAGCAGTAATAACAATAATAATGGTAGTTGCCGATGCGGACATTTTAGCAGGGATTTGGTTGTGGTTGCGTTAACTCGTGACCTCTCGGTCTAATGTGCTTGGCGCCTTGCCTCAGCGGCTTAGAAGAACAAGCAAATATTTTTGTTGAAATGTTGAGGAGGGAGCTTCTGCGACGGCCGTAACATACCTTACGGTTTCCTGTTCGTATTTGGAGGTAGAGACAGGGGTGAAATCATGCAGCTTTGAGGTATTTGTTCTTCTCTCCAAATCTTCTGAAGCAGCCATGTCAGTGTTAAGGAGACACCAGTCACCATGTTTAAAGGCCTCGGTTGGAAATGAGTCTGTGTCCACGGCTTTTCCGAGAAGCATCTGCCAAACCTCAGCAATATCAGCATTCACTGTGTGTTGATGCCTTCCTCGCATACTCGATGGGCGTTTGGGGAGCCCCCTCCAGATTTCCCGACTTCTCCGACAATAGCGCCGAGCGTTTGAGTAGAACTCCGGTACATCCCCCCCCCCGGGTTGAGAGCCGTAGACTGCCTTAAAATCGCGAAGATGCCCCTTATTTTCCCACGGCCTGTACGTCCTGGAATATTTTCTGCCTTGAGACGCAACCAGCCATTTTGCGTTCCCTTAGCTTCTGCTGCACTGGTCTGCGGCATCTAAACGATGTGGCTGTACTTATGTTGAGCTAGCTGTTCACACAGATCTTTCGCATCCCGTTTTCTTTTGGCTTATAGACTTCGTAATAGCGTATGCTAAAAGTTATTTACTAGTGACTATTCTGCCGACTTAGCTGCAGTATTTTGTCTCTCAAGTAATTGCGCTAAAACATTTCGGGCAGAACAAAACGACCTTGGTGGTGGTGGTGGTGGTGGT